GTATAAATATAAATATTAAATAATAAATTTGTCTTTTAAATTATATAGTTATGCAAAATTTTTATTCTTGTTTAAAATAATTTTTTTTTAATTATTACTACTATCTAATTTAAAAAATAAATTATCTTCTATCAACTCACGCGTAACGTGACTGCCGGCTGAATTAAGACATCCCAGTTCCCTCACCTAGCACGTGCTTGCCCTAGCCCGTTCTTCCATTTCCACACACACACACACACACACACATATATATATATATATATATATATAAACGATTACCCTTTCTTCTTCATTTCTGCTTCTCTGATTTCTGTTTTGTTGGAATATTTTCTCATTTGTAACAGCCAAGAGTGCTACTCGGGTTCGATTCGCAAAAGCCTGTATTCAATCTTCATCATGTCGGTGAGCATCAAATTGTCTTTTATGATTTACTTTGCGGTTTTCAAAAACATTTAATTCTTTCTGTAAACCTTTTATACATATATGTTTTTTGGTATGGATGTTCTATATCGAAGTTAGCTTTATTGTGTTAGTGAGATTAGATCTGCTATGAGATTTTCTGCGATCTAAAATTTATGGAGTGCCTTTTGGGGGGTTAGTTTATTTGCCGAATCTATCATTTGTTTCAATTCTCAGCAAAAACCGTGTCTCTCTGTGTAACATTCATGAGATTTGTTTATGGAGCCGCGAGGATACTGTATACTGCAGTATTTGATGCTTGAATATTCTGTTCCTTTAGGATGTCATGCAAATTCCAAAAGAAACCTGTTGTCTTTATGATATATATATATGCTGCATTTAAACGGTTAGATAATCGTATATTGGTGTGGAACATCCTCTTTGCTATTGCTATTGCAAAACTATACACGAGATTTTGAAACGCATTCAGATATATATGTGGGGGCCATATTGGTTATTCATTCGGTAAATTGCCATATTTCTCAGGAATTATAACTAAGATTTTGTTTATTGCACTTGTATGATTGATTGCTAGCCAATGACAGAATCCACAGATTACGTATCTGTATTTCTGATTTGCTATTGCAACTATGTATAAATGTAATGGATGTGCGTAATATGCTTGCATTCAAGTAAACCTGACGGGTGTAGCATGCTTTTTTTTTTTTTTTTTTGAAAATCGATAAATGTAGCGTGTTATTAAATCTATAAGGTAAGCAGCATGTATAGAGATAAGTACAAATATAGGAAAATAGAGACATTTGTGTATATTAAGAAAGCTTGTAACATCTGTTATACTCTCTCTTTCCCTCCTAACAAACACACAAAAAAGAGAAAAACTAAAGGAGCTATCTATAAGAGGAGTGTGATCTATTTATGATCTGAACAAAAAAGGTTTACGTATGTATGGTATCTCCCCTTATCTTCCCACTTTCAAGAGAAAGACCCTTTAGAGGGAGTTGATGGACTCGTACAATCTTATACTCCACCAGTGCAAAAGCCGGCGAAAATTGATACGTGAAGTTTGGAGTGTTGGTTTTAATCTTGAATGATGTGAAAATGATCTGGTGCATTTTCCATTATGAATACACTATCCCTTTCCAACTTATCATGGAGTCAAGCTTGTTTGTTTTTAGTTTTGACGTAGGATGCTCCCCTTTCTGTGCCTCTCTCGGATATCAGTTGATTTTTAAGACATTTTCATATAATTTTATCATGTACATTATTTCAACATGATTTCTCTAGAAGGTGCTTTATGTACAAGATCATATATATTGTGGAGATTTTAGAAATCAATTACTTTCTAATTGCAGATTAAAACTGTTAAAGTTAGCAATGTTTCTCTCGGAGCAACAGAGCAAGACATAAAGGAGTTCTTTTCTTTTTCTGGTGACATTTTATATGTTGAATTGCAGAGGTTTGTTATTTTATTTTTTATTTTGTCTGTAACTTCCACTTTTGTTTTTATTGTTCTTTAGATGCTGAGCTTATTGTTTGCTTTTACAGAAATGATGGACAATCTCAGGTTGGATATGTTACCTTTAAGGATTCACAGGGCGCAGAAACTGCTGTTCTTCTTTCGGTATATCACTTTCTCACAAAATAACCACCTAGTCAACTTGTCATCTTCTCTGTCATTTTTTGCCACAATTTCATTGGTTATCTGATTCGTCTTTTTTTTTTTTTTTGAGATAAAAGTGTGAATTGTATTGATGAGTCGGCACCAAGGGGGCGCCACCAATGTACGATCTGATACGTTGTCTTAGGAGGGAGATTCTAAATACTGCATTGTGTTTTCCGAATAGGCTAGCAATTGTGATAATTCAGTTTTAGGAATCACAGTATGGTGTTTTACAGCATGCTGAAGCACACTATAACATCTTCTTGACTAGTTTGCGTAAATGTACTAGATGCTTTGCTTAGTCTTTCCAAGAAAACCTCTAAGTTTGGAAGCAAAATAGTAGGAGAATTATGGGAGAGAGAATGAAGGAATTACCTTCATAACTGTATGAAAAATATCTGGTATGGTGTGTTAAGTCTTCTGAGTTACTCAAGTAATGTAGAAATGTTCTATGTTTTTTGCTTTTTGTCTCGATGAAGGAGATTCAAACCTTATACCTATAATCCACCAGTCTTCATAATTGGTTTCACGAGTCAATACTCCTCTTGTATCTGATGCAATGTCATAATGATTGGAGATCCACGATACTCTGAACATAGAGCCTGGTGTGCCTCCCTATCCTTCAGATTTATGGATTCTAGGGTCTTTTTGACTCTAACTGTTGGAAGATTATTGAAGACGACCTGGTCAGGGTGGTTCGCAATTTCTTTGCTGAAGGCGCTGTTAAGCCCTAAGTTTGAATTCAAATTCATTGCCCTTACTCTGAAAGTTGAAAGTCCTTCACTTTTTTACCAATGCCATCATATTTTTCTTTATGGGATATTTGAAGGAGGTTTTGCTTTTTTTTTCCCCCTTTTTTCAGGGTGCAACGATTGTTGATCTATCTGTTGTGGTCACACTGGCTCCAGATTATCAATTGCCTCCAGACGCGTTGGTGCAGGCTGTAAGTCTTTCATGAAACTTCCATCATAAGGTATATAGTGGAATGTCTGTAACATATTACTATCCAATTCTGTAGCCGAGCAAAGATAAGACTCCTGGTGGTGCTGAGTCTGCTTTCCGGAAGGCTGAGGATGTGGTTAGCGGCATGCTTGCCAAGGGGTATATCCTGGGCAAAGATGCAGTCA